AACTTGCTTTATAAGAGACGCACAGCAGCAGAGCGGCTGCAGCTCGCGAGGAATAATTAATCGTTGGCACACACGCAGCAACTGACTGACTTTGAGCACCGATTGCGAAAATTTTCACGCCGCGAATAAATTACGGCCTACTTGCGCCGCTCTGCTTTTGCCAATGAGCCGTTTTGCAAATTGTCAACGCTGGTACATTTCCGCTCCTCGGCTGTGTGATGCATTTTGCTAGAATAACTTTGCGGATATTTCAAGGATTATAAGTGGGTAATTTTGCGAATTCCCACGGATAAATTTCATGCTAGTCAACATACGCGACAATTTGCTATTATTAAGAGGGAAAAAATGGCAAACATTACAAGTGAATGTTGAAATTCCATCTGCCTAGCTATTAACTTCAAAGAAGCTTGTCAATGGGGAAAACAATGCAAAATTTATAATTTTTTTTAGTAACTCTCTCTAAATAAGTGTTTATAACTGTTTATCAACAAATTATTTATTTAAATATTCTTAAATTTTTCATGATCATTAATCATTGATAACATTTTTATTTTCTTCCTCTTGTTTATATCAAATTTGCATTTTTTTTATATATACTTGAAACCGACTATACAAATTTGAATAATTAACATAACCTTCAACATATGGTGAGTTAAAGCCAATTTCATAACCGCAAGTGTCGCATTAATCAGTACATTAAATCACGATTAATTGCTTTTTAAAGCTTGAGAGGCGCAAAACACGTTGCTAAGCAGTCGCTTTTACATTGAAGCACGTGTGAGTGAAAAAATGCTGTTCATGAAGAAACCTGGCACTCGGCATTCTTTTTCAATGGTTGACACATGCACGCAAATGCAAGCAAAGCTTCTTCTATTCGACTGTATATTTTTTTTTCAACCCGACCAGCAAGAAAACTTCCGATTTTGCATAAACGTGGGGATTTGATTTTGCATTAACGCAGCAGGGATGTAATGTTGACGTTCGAGAATAGTTTAGCTAACATTTATACGCACAAGACGTATCGGATCATGACGCAAATGACACCCCATCTGTCAATGCGCGAAGGAAATCTGACAAGTGATCGACATGCTGAAGGGGTTACTAAAATAGCCACTTAATCACGGAAGTTGATTTTACGCAACTGCGAGGAGATGAAACGATTTTGCAAATCTATTTTTTATTTATATCAACCCTTTGCTCTTGGATTGTAAACCGAAAGCTATAATTACCATTTGAATTACAAAGCATCTCCTTATACTGATAAAAATCGGCCCATTTTGATTCATCGTGAGATGGTAAATTTTGATCAGTTTAATAGTTAATGCAGAATAATCAGAGGTTTTTAAATTTAATGGATTAAACGAAAATCAGTCAAAAATTATAGGCTCAAAACTTTGCACATTTCAAATTTTACAAAGCGTATTAATGAATTTGGGTGTCTTATTTTTTTAAATAGCGCTAATTTTAACTTTGAAGTGAAAATTTTTGTTATTTACATTTTCGTACTTGCTTGACATCAAAGCACACTCAAGTCAGAACTCCTTTTAATAAAAATAAGAAACATAATTAATTAGCTCCCTTATTCACAGAGCTCCGGACACATTGTGAAACATTGTATTAAAAAACTGTAATGAATCACTGGCACTTTCTTTCTTTCCATCGCCTGCAGCTCGTTCAAGTGCAATGGAATATAATGAACGGCGTCTCAAGAAAAAGCACAACGAACTCTGAGAATAACAGCAAACACCATGAAGGCTCTGAAGGCGACGCAACAATAATCAACACAAATGATCATCACGAGTTATAAAAGTTCTCATCCATGTGCGAAATGACGTCATCCCTCCATGGATATAAAATTCGGGGCTGCTGGAGTTCATCAGAGTTGTGTGTGCACTTGAAATCCTTGGCGGGTCGTTGAAAGCAAATTGAAATTTGCTTGCAAATTTTTGACTGCTCGTGGGGTTTGGCAGGTGGCGGTCATGTGTGCGAAAAGAAAGAAAATATTGAGACCTTGTCCTAAATCGTTCAAGAGGAGCTGCCCACTGAGCCGATGGTGGCGATGGCCGGTTTATTAAATCCATCGAAAGGTTAAGTAGTGTGCGCGCCTCTCGAGAGCATTATTATTATTGTTATGATCAATTTTCTCGCGCTTCAATTAAAATACTCGCACACTTGTTGACACGTGCACTTGGCGAGCAATTAACTTGTTAGACAGGGAATAAAATTTATGTGCCAGGTTGTTTGCAAATCGACCTGTTTGACAACCTTTTGAGCCCAAGGTATGTAATTGGAAATTCATATTATCATAAATTAATAAATCAAATTAATTAGGAAAATATTTCTCTCTCTTGATATACTTTGAAGTTTAATCAAAATAAATTGATTCAATTTCTTTTTATCTAGGACCGTAAATTATAATTAAGAAAAAAATACAATATCATTCAGTTTTTTCTCTTTCTTGCAACAATTCCATTTTTCCATGAAAAATAATTGTAAAACTTGAACAAGCGAAATAAAAATTGAAAACATTTCTAGCCATGAAAAACAAGGTAAAATAAAGAGAACCAACTGTAGAGGTTGAAGGTGCTCGTTGAACCCGTCTGTTGAGCGCAGACAGAGCAAATATTGAGAGCGCAATAATAATATCAGCGCTGGGAAAAGAGGGTTATGTGTGACGGCACGTGTGATGCGAAATTTCCTTGAAGAGTCATTTGGTAACGATAAGGAAGAAGCTTTAACAATATGTTTGATAATGGAGAATCTACACATATTGAATAAATAATAATGCTATTAAGGGCAAACCTCTTGATTTAAACTATTATTAGTTATTTTCTACGAGTCCTATCAACTTAAGTTAAAAGATCTTACTAATTGGTTCTTTAAAAGTTTGTTTCAAACAACATTATCCTTGAAAGAAAGATAAAATTATAACAATTGAACTTGTTTTGTTTGAGATTAAGAAGATTACTCATATTAATTTTTTTTTTTAAATATTGCAACATTTTCTTCAAATAACATTTTGTTATTCCGACCAGAGAAAGTCACCGGTCTGACCGTGAATGTTGAAGGCGGTGTGGTTTTTCCGGGATGTGAATACTTCATACATTTTCTTGCGATTATTAAATTTTCATAAAAATTTCACTAAAACCTTGATTTCGATTTCCAGATCAATCATCGCGCGGAAGCCGAAACCGCAAAGTTGTCTTGAACCGTATATAATGCGTGTTAGTGGCCGATCAAATTAGGCCGGAACGCAATAATTCTGAGTAAAGTGTGTTGCAACTGGACGTGTGTTTGCAAACAGGGCGATTAAAAGCGGCAGTAGGAAATTTCCGACGTTGGCTGCGATTATTAGATTCGCACCTCCAATATTCCGGCCTCGTTTGCACCGAAAGCATCTCAAAATACGCGTAATAAGACTCAAGTGACGTAGGAAAAGACAAAGGTCGAACCATTTGCGTCATTTTCGAGCACTTCCTCCGCCAACCAACCCCGTGCAATTAGCGGACCGAATAATATTTGCGCCCGCAATTACCATTTTTTTCCACGCAGTTTTCTTGCAGACAAAACAATGCGCTAATATTTTAGCAAATTAAAACCGCCTTGTGTGCGAATTGTTGTGCAATTATCCTTGGGCACACAATATTTGTGTTGACCGTGAATCGGCTGAGATTTGGAAGGCGCGTCTAGCGCGAATAAATTAATGCTCTATGCATATGAGATCAATTGGGAGTGATGAATGTGCGCGATAGAGACAAGCCAAGGCCCGCATCCAATGATACTCACGCGAGACAGATTGAGAATGTTTGTCGATTGTTTGCCGAGCGAGACAATAACATTTGAGATTCACTTCAATTGTGTCGCGGAGAGAGAGATGCACCCAAACTTAAATATTGGACTGTCACTGTGAGGCTGATAAAGATGTTTTTCACCAGAGATATTGAGAAGGGTTCACTATTCAAAAGATTAAAAAAATCTATATTTGTACTTTGTCATGCAAATACGAGACACGCGGCGTTGATATGCTATTTTTCCAGATAAATAATCCAGAGAATGAATTTAAATTTCTTTCTAAAGAAAATTTAACTCGATAATTGAACAAAAAATGGACAAAATTGAAAAAAACCATCATGAATAATTTATAGTTATTATAATAGATTTTAATTTTGATTAAAGCATCTGTAGAACTTTTTTTAATACTTTTTGTGAATAATTTCTTCTTATTTATTTCAAAGAACTTAGGCAGAACTTTCACACAAATTAATTAATAATTACTATTTGGAACTGACTCTAGCAATCATTTTCAGTTATAATTTCTTCAATGAGTTACGTAATAAATTTGTCACTAGCTTTTATTTATTTATTTTTTCATTTTCACTTTTTTTGAAAAAAAAAAAAAAAAAAAACGTCAATATATATGAATGAAAAATGTGTAATATTTTGTGGCGAGATGGTTAATAACCTATTTTAAGCCTCACTTACTAATTCACTTTCCTTATCTTTTTCAAAACAAAAAGCCAGACGCGTGTGCATTGCTAATGTACATCAGACACCACTCTAGGGCATTGGCCTTTAAAATACAAATTGAGCTCATCTTTTTTAGTTAAATTGTAAAGTTTTCAGTGGTAAATAATCGCGATCTCGTGAAATTCCCCGCTCCTCACATTCGCACAACGCAGATAAAATTTCCGAAATAGTTGTTGCTAAACGGCATGTGGAGTAAATAATGTTAAATGTAGTTCACGCAGCGAACTTTTTACTACAAGCGTGCGCTCACGTGGAAGAAAACAAGCACTCGTTCTACAACTTTGCTCAGAGCCAACAAAGTCTGATTTTCAAACAAAGAAGTAAAAAAATATTTGCACACAAATTTAAACCCTGGACCTGTGGCACAATATATAATTTTATAAAAGAACCGCAAGCAAAACTTATATTTCCGGCAAAATATATATAAAATTTAATTTTTGCATGGTGTGAAAAACATAGAAAGTTTGACCTACCTGAATTTGATTTCTTATTGGACACCAAGGACTTGATCCAGTGTCCAGCACTGAAGCGGCGGCGGCTCGCGGTGGACGACCTCCGCGAGTTGGACTCTTGTGTGGTTGGCATTTGAATGCTGTGTTTTGCTCTTTCTTCGGCGGCAGGCAGGCGCTCTAAACCCACACTGGCTAGGCGCGCGGCACTTAGGAGTGTTTTGTGGAGCGGGGCGCCTCCTTGTGTGGGGAAGACGGCCGCGTCACATGGTGCTCACACCACCTCCAAACCCCCAACTTGGCCATGGGATGATGCAGTTGCTGGCATTGTTTCTTAGTCTGTCTCATAAATCTTGGTCAACACAACATAATTTGGCAAAATTCAATCAATTAAATTTATTGGGGCAGTAGGGGAAAAAATGGAAAATATGACGTACCTGAATGAGACGTAAATTTTACAGTTATTCATTATTTATTCGAAAAGCTATACCAATTTATTATTTAAGTTTCATTGTTGATTATAATCTTGCATATGTGCAAATAATTTCCCTTCAAATTAGCTTTGTGACAATTTAACTCCAATATTCTGCTGATTTTAGTTTCTTTAGAAATAGGATAGTTTCAAAAAATCAATTTGCATATGTTCCAAAAAAACTTTCGTCTCAGTTCCAATCCTCTTCTCCTCCTGGCAAGAGATTTGGGATAATTGAGGCAACTGGTCTTCCATAGCCAAGGGCAATTAGCTCCTCAGACACAAGCAATCCCTAAACAATTAAATAAAATAAAATACAAAATATTTTGTATTTTCTTACATCTCCATCTCCAGAAGTCTTCAAAATAACACTTGGAATGTAGCTGTGGAAAGGCGACTCGCAAAAACCTTTGACCTTGGCTAGCATGACCTTCTTGTTTTCCGAGTCATAAGTTAGGTTTTCGAACATGTCGACTGCCTCCTCAGACCACTTCTCTTCCCTTTAAAAATAGATGTGACAAATAAACTGCAAGCAAATACGTAACTTACAATTGTTCAATTCCTTCCAAGGAACACTTGATGGCCTGGTGTTTCAGCTCTTGGAATTTAGGATTCAGAGCGAACACACTTGAAATTTTCTTCCACTCGACGTCTCCGTAATCAACATAGAACACTTTGACCCTTTCATTGTTGCTCTTGGTTTTGACGACGGTGCCTCTGTACCACTTGCCATCTTTGAATTGACAGGCTACAGTGCGTCCAACACCTGCAGTCTTTAATTTTCAGAGGTCAGCCAATGATGAAAACAGTGACAAATAATTTACCTCTAACTTGTGGAAATTCCTATTCTCCTCATTCTCATAGAACTCAAAGATATCTTTTTCCAAGGCTTCCAGCAGCTTTAATCTTTCATCTGCAATCTACATTTCAACATAAAAAATAATTTTGTGCGTTTCAAATGTAAAAATAAAATTACTTGAATGTAGAAGCAGCTAGGGCTGGTCAAGGCAGACAAATGTACATTGATGAAATCCTCCTCTGGGGGCATTGTCTCGACATTTGACGATTCATACGATTCAAACACATCAGTTGGGGTCAAAGATTGAAATTGGGAGAACCCCTTGTCCGGACAGTCCTCTTTGATCTTCTCCTCAATCAATCTCTTTGCCTCGGCAACTTCCTTTGCCGTTCCTTTAAGGGTAACTTTTTGACCCTTAACTGTAACATCGGTTTAAATTTAATATAATATTAAAAATATTTTAATTGAAATACCTCCAAATTCAGAGCTGTCAACCGTGATTTTAGCACCAGAATTTTTCTGCAGTGCTCGAATAGTAGTTCCACCTTTGCCGATGATCAGGCCACAAGCGCTCTTTAATAAACAAAAATAAAACATTTGATTTTAATAAAATAAAAATGCTTACATTTGGGACAAGAAACTCTGCAATTTCAATCTTATGCTTCTCGAGGAAATCCTTGACCATGTATTCAGCCTTTTGCACATTTGCAGGAAGCCCTCGGATGATACACTCCCTGTAGTTTTCCGAAGCATCTGTGAATTTTTATTTCATTTTTGCAGATTTGCTTTAAACATATTTTATAAATATTTACTTTCATCTTTGAAAGTGATCCTGGTCGCAGTCTTCTCCTGGATTTCTCTGATTGTGATTCCACTCTTTCCGATGAGGTAGCCGACCTTGTCCTTTTCAATGCGCACCTCACAAAATGTGCGTCTCCTTTTGTTCTGCTGCACTTCCAAGTCTTCACAGCTATCACACTCGTCGTCCTGCAGAAATATATCAAAATCAAGATTTTTTTTCATATTAATTTTTTTTATAATCTTACATCTTTCATCAGGTAATACAGCATAGCAAAACCACCTCCGATCAGTGTGATGCCAAGGGACAAAGGCACTATTTTCACATTGAAAATTTTTGGCCCAGCTGTCAACAACTTTATCTTCCCAACTACCTGAAAGTTGAATTTTTTAAATGAGAAGAAAAAAAACAGATTTTTGGCAATTTATTCGAAATTAAATATAAGTATAGAAAATGACAGTTATTTCAAATAAAAATTATCAGTGCAATGAAAAATAAAAGTTATCACCATATTTCTTTTATAAAGCCGAAATGGCTTCTGAAGTTGGTCTGCGGTCTTATTGTAGATGCTTCTGGGTTTGACGAGTTTTGTTACGCTGCCTTTCTTGTGCTCAGGATTGGATCATGAGTCTGTAAAATATAAATGAGTGTGTTTGTGTTATGCATAGAATGCTGACGATGTTGGATGTCTTGCGTTTCACTGCATGAGAATAAGATCTTGGTCGGCTACGAAATACGATATGCGTGAAATGTATAAAACGTGGATGAGAATAATTATACAAATTTTTTTTTGTAATATATAATTAAATATTAGTTTATGTATTTGCTATATTCTTACAGCTACATAATGTTGGATTGCATGTGCTCTAAAAAAACCAATTCCATATTAAAATTTGTGTACTGTAATTTGCACGTAATTTTGGATGATTATGTAAATATTATGTGTGTTGGCAGAATTTTATGCTCTAAAAAGTTAACCAACTTTTTAGCAATGCAAAATTATACATAAACCATAAACCACAAGAAAGTTTTACATAGTGGAGATACATACTGGAGATAGAGCAGAGCGAAAATTCCAAAATAAATTCACTTCTCAGCAAAATCTACTGGAATAAATCCACCATAATAATTACATTCCGTTTTGCACTTCAAGTTCTGACTTGTCTGAACCCGGAGACGTCGATCAAACCGGCAGTCACAGTCTAACAGCTCACAATTGAAGTTATCTATTTTGTCTCTGTTTATCTACAATTTTGCCTCCCCAATGGAAGAAAGAAGAAAGACAACTGACAATGAGGGTTGGGGGGAAAAGTATGAAATTTTATGTACAGTGAGCCGGAGTCCCGCAATAGGGCCGAAAAGAACAAGGCCGAAAACGGCTGAGCGGAACAAGGCCGAAAAGGAATAGGGCCGAAAAGGAACAAGGCCGAAAGCTGAAAAATAACCGATAATCGTGAGCGCGTTCAGCTCAGCAAATATTTAAACTGAAGATCCTTTGCGCGCCGATACTGAAATCCATCATGCGGCCGTTTCGCATTGGAAAATTGACGAAAATTTAAAATTTTTTGTAGAAGATCTCAGCAAAATATTCTTCATTTTAGGCGAGACATATATCAGAAAATCACAGAAATATGGGGGAAACACATCACAAGATAAATTGATCTCTTGGACTGCATAAAAATACCATATTGCATCGGAACTCTGAAACCACGAACATTTAAGAAATTATTTGTCCAGAAAACTTATATTACTTGTTATGTGTCGTTTTTTTCTTCTTTTTGACTTAAATGTTTCCATTCATGCTCTATTGATTCAAAATTTCCATCATAATTGGAATCATATGAACGTGGTTTGGTGAATTTTTAATCAAGTTTGGTCTGGCCAATTTTGAGAAAAAAATTATTTCGAAAAATTCCCATATGAAACAATGTAAAATTTCAAATATTCAGTTTAATTAATTGGGTGAATTATTTGAGATTATCTCACAGTTTGACTTATAAATACAACGATGATAAAGAAAATTGTGTGTCTTGATCCTAATGTTTTCTGAAACGTCCAGTTTCTTGTAGGGATGACGGGTTGACATATATAGCACGGTAATAGATGCTTCCCTAAAGAAACCGGTTCTTCCTATTTTGTTTGCACCGGTATTTCGGCCTTGTTCCTTTTCGGCCCTATTCCTTTTCGGCCTTGTTCCGCTCAGCCGTTTTCGGCCTTGTTCTTTTCGGCTCTATTCCGGCACTCCAGTGAGCCGCATGAGGCAAGTCGAGACAAGTTCAACAGGTTTGAACGAATCCAAAGCGGCGAACTTGAGCGATTGCACGAGCGGAGAGGAAAACTACATAAAGTGCACGGCCTGCCATCTAGTTTCACTTATGTAACGCGTTGTCGCAAAACATCGTTTTGTGCCTTTTTGGTTCAGTACAATTTGTGCACAAAGCATTATAAAGAATTAATCTAAATTCCCTAAATTCAAAGTCCATTTTTTTTTTAATATTTCTTGGCTCAAATAATTTCAAAAACTAAATATTTTTTATAGTAAAATGCGTAAAATAATGATGCAATAAATAATTTTAATTTCCAAATTACCATAAATTGGATTATTATCATTTTCTTTGTCAATTCAAATTCACTTCGCTTATTGAGATTATAATTTATTTCCTAATTTTTAAATTTTTAAATCGGTGGAAAATTGCATGCTTTTTACTTTTTATCTATCCATTAAAAAAATCCTTTCTTTTTATCGCTTTTTACATTCCTTATGTGTTTCATGTTGTTCATTTATAAAACTAATTTTTGCTAATTTTCACGTAGCAATTTAGGAATAATGGTAAAATAACTCCACGATTTTGGCAGCACCTCCTTTTGAGCCTTTCGTCAAAAGAACGTCTTTTTTTGAAAGCCCTTGAACGCGACCGGCATGCGTGGCTCTTTCTCTCTCTGGTAAATCGATAGTTTCGCGCGCAGTGCCCTGGGTCGGCCGAGGGTGGAGCTGCGTTTGATGCTCACTTGTTTCACGTCCATTGTTTACACCTGTCTGGCTGCGCGCCTGGTATTCGTCCGATTTTAGGTAATTTCTGTCACTTTTTCGGCTTGTTTTTCTTTCGCGACGGTCATTAGGGATTCTTGAGGTCGCTGACCACATTTTGCACGGATTCGCAAGTGGAATCGCGTTGCAATTCGGGCAAAAGGCGCGTGCTCTTGTGATGCCCCCACCCCTCCCTGATTATTGTACCTGCCATCGCATTCCTTCGAAGTGATTGTGATTTGTTGAATTGAACACAAGATCTAGGGAGATTTCTAATTTTGCTCTTCTCCGGTTGATTTCAGACCCATCGTCGACTTGAAATGCTCTCTGCGTAAACGAACCGAAGAGGAAAATGCCGCTGAACGCAGGTAAGGATTAATCTGCTTTTAATATTTATTAAAATCAATTTTAAAATAAAATTATATACATGAGGTGTAATGAAGCCACCATTTAGCTCCTTATTTACAGGTTAATTATTTCTCTGCGTGATTATCTAACTTATAATTGCGTTTTCCAGATGTGTCGACTGCCCTCCAGCTGTTGGAGGGCATCCAGCAATCAATACAGTCCTGTGATGACCCCAAGTTGGAGGCGCACGCCACTGCTGACCTCAACCTTCTCATCTCTGTGCTGGAAAACCCTGTTTTCAGGGGCATCTGCACCATGCAGGTATGATCAAATGAAAGTTTTTGCTGAACCTTTACTTGGAATAAAAATATTAAGATAACAATATTTAAAAAAAGAGACGTTATCTCTTGGATGATAAAAGAATGTCTTTGTTTACATGACATGATGTTTAAAAAAAAATAATATAGGTCAAGTAAGAAATGTGATGTTATTAATTCAGGAAGATTTATTCATGTATCATTTTAATAAAAACATTTAAATTACGAGATCTAAAACAAATAATTGTGAAAAAATAAGACGTTAGTAGAATTAATAAGCCCAAATTTAGCTTTAAGATAAAATTAAACCTTAATTAAATGTATAATTTGGTATAATTAATCAAATTTTTCAGGACGCATTGGGTGAACTCAATAATCAAATCCAGGCACATCCATCCTTGCTTCCCGGAGACTTTGATCTTGATCCGGTGGGACACCTAGTCTTAAATGTCCCACCTGCCACAGCTGGGGTGATGTTTGAAGGCCGAGGTTTTGAGCCAGATGACCAACGAGTGCCAGTAGCAAAGCTTTCAGTCAGCTCGTCCTCCGGCGGGGAAGCAACTTCACCTCAGGTATTGCTTTTTCCTCTCATTTGTAGCCAAAGTTGAAATCGTAACTGGAAAAGAGAGAACAAAAATCCGGATTTCAAAAGCACTTTTTTTCCAAAATTTAAATTTGCTAAGAAAAAATACTAGAATGCAATTATTTTTAACTTATTCTGGGTGACTTTGCAGGTGGCTAGTCCAAATATGATGGGACTTGGAGATCGGCTGCCACAGACTCCAATCACAACGCCAACATACGCTTTAGAATTCCAAAAGGCCATTGAAGCTGCCTCGCTCGGACGAGACGTACACACTGTGCAGGTAGTTGATGCTTTTAATTAATTTTTGGACATTCTAAACAATATTATTAATTTATTTTAAATGTTTTATGTTCAGTAGGGTTAATTCAAGTTACAGTTTCATTGTAAAAAAAATAATGGTTAATTATTGCTCTGTTACTAAAATATGAGTTCAACTGATTTTTTTAAATGTTTTTTATATCTCAGAATTTAATGCCAATGAGAATTCCATTTATTCTCATTTTATTGCTGGAAACTTCAAATAAATTTATTTGTTTAATCAATTTAGTAAAGACTAATAGTGGCTTGTTGATTTCAATCTGTCACATTACTATTGGAGAAAATGGCAAAGGTTAACTTATATAAACGTCAACTTTCAGCTTTTCAAGCCAGAAGGAAGCAGTCTTGGCTTCAGTGTAGTTGGCCTGAGATCTGAAGAACGAGGCGAACTTGGAATCTATGTCCAAGAAATTCAACCCCCTGGCATTGCTGGACGGTAAGTCCCCAATTCTGCTTGTATTCTTTAATTTTTTGGTTGATTCCGTTACGATGTTAAAAATTTAATTACACACAATAACGTAATTACTCCAAAAAGCTGCTATAGGGAAATGTAAGTAATTTGAAATTCTCAAGCATGCTGCATGAAATTATCACGGAACGGTTTTATTTAAATTCACTCTCCACCCGAGCATGAACAAAAAAAATATTCCCTCGATTGAGCCTTTATTTGAAAATGATGAGAAAAGAAACGGCTGGATGCAGCGTCACTCCCTTGTGGCGCAAAACTTTTTCGAACCCACTCCTAACGAGCTGACAGAGGGAGCGAGAGAGATAAAATGAGAAATCACCAGTAGTTTGGAGCCTGTAATGACATCATTAGTGGTACCTTGTGCTATCTCGGCAAATGTTCGAGAAGATTTTTTGTGCACCTCCGAGCAAAGTTCGCCACCTCCGTCCGTCCTGCACTCTCATACACAATTAATGCAATCAAGTCGGGCAGAAAAACGCCCGAAGGGAAATAATTTTTTGAACTATTTTGCTTGTTTTGCCGTGAGGGCGAGCGAGCAATTTCCTCTGCGCCTGTTGACGGCCCTGTTTCCCGCCCTGCCTGCGAACCGTGCAAATGGACTTTAGGGAGAACACTTTACGAGGCTTGCTAATTATTAGGCCGCGTTTGAGGAGGAGGAGCGGCGCGGCGGCAGCAGGAAATGTTATTGTGCTGCCTCTTGCCTCTGATGATGCTGTGTGCGCGGTTATTATTGAGCGAGGAGCCATATCGTCCTTCCATTCTTCCTAAATTATGCCGCAGCCCTCTCTGCTCTGCCCGAAGAGGAGGCCCTTCTTCTTTCTTTCCTTTCGTAGTACATATATAAAAATGGCAAGGACTATACGTAGAGGCCGAGCGAGCGAGCGGTCGGCATTAAGCCCCAGAAAATAGAATTGGATGTTCCACGGAGAGGACCGTGAGGCAAAAGGAAGAAGAAATAATAATGTACAACACGCCTTTTTTTTCCTTCATGCATCACAAATATAATGGATTTGCACGGGAGAAATTGCAAGCCTTTTTCTTATTACATCTTTGTCTCCGTCCTGAGAGGAGGAAAATTTATACCCGCGCTTTACTACTAGACTGGGAAAAAGTCCGGCTGATTTATCCAAGTGTTTGTCACTGTCCTCCAGATTGAGTTTGCTTTGGCCGTTCGTTACTTTTATCTCAGAGAGTATATTTACTTTTTCTCATTTTGGCCGTCACTCAGGTGCGATTTAAATCTGTTTGAAAAAAAAAATTAATTATGCCAAGTCGACGGGTGTAATAAATCACTACCAAAGTTGGCCCCTCCGCGCGGACGCGGTGATGGATGTTTTTTCCACAATTTGTCTTAAATTTCAGTCGAGATCCCCACGTGACGTCAGTGCAAAAAGCGCCATTTATCATTTGCGATCCGGCAGAAAAACCAATACCAGTAATGGTGGCCGAAACGGACTCCCTTGTGCGAATTTCGTCTCGCGCCGATTGTTCAATTTGCAATAACGCATGCAGTGGCTCCGCCGGCCGACCCGGGAGCAGGAAAATAATTCTGTCAACGAATCAATTTTGATCGAACGCGGCGGGGCTTTTCGCGTTTTTAACGCGCAGCAAATCCGTTTTTTCCGCGAGAACGAGCTATCTCTGTGCACGCATGTTTCATAATATAAAAATGGCAGTGCTTTTGAGTTATAGGCGTGTTGCGAGCTCTTTTCATTGATCCACGCGCACGCAGGAGCCTTGTGTACCGACCGACGTGATGGTGCTCGCTCCCACCCCCATGGTGGTGCTCTGTGCACCAAACCAACCCTCCACGGGAGCATATTCACATGTTATACATTACTCGTCGGCCTTTATGCGCGGCGCCGCCTCTCGACGGCACAAACCAACATTTCGGATGCTGCCCTCCCTTAGCTCGAGCCGAGCAGAATAATTTGAATAAATTTGCAGAATTATCTTAAGCGCCTTGGTGGCTTTATGGCGCCTCGCAAACGACTCTGGGGGTGTTGATCGTAATTATCCTGTGCTTTTTGCCTGCCCAGTGTTGGTTATTTATCTTCCGGAATTGCTGTACTTTTGCCAACTTGGCTCCTGCCTCTGGATGCGGAACAAATTTTTATATATCTTGTTCGCCCGTTTCAAAATTAAATTTCGCCCCTTGAGACGCTTTTTAGAGTTTTAAATCCGCTTTCATAAGTTTTTAATTTTCATTTTATTTTAAAGAAAAAAAAGTTTCGATGTTTACTATTAATTATTATATTATTCTTGTTTATTTGTTAAAATCGTTACATCACATTCAATTGTTGGAAACTGTTTATTTGAAAAAATAAAAGGAATTGTTTGACAAAATGGCAAGAATTTAGCTGAAACTTCCAAGATCAAAAAGGCCCCATCCGCCGCAGTGAGCCTCAGTTTACAAAGTCTTTGTTTTGTTTTAAAACTTTTTGCGCATTCAGAAACAGATTCATTGCTCACGCGTCCAATCATAAATTCATCCACCAGCCGGGGCCGTGCCATTTTCCCCCCGTCGGTTTTTCCCAACCATTCCGACTCTCGCGCATTTAAATATGTTCCGCTTGCAGCAGAAATTATTCAGCAAACTTTCACCCTGGCTATTAGGGCAATTTATACATCGAGAGCGCCGAGTGCCTCGCTCGGCACAAACGCCCTAGCTGCCTTTTCAACTTTTTCTCCACGCAATTCCCGACGACTGCGAGCTGATGCAAATGATAGGGCACACTTGTTACATAGCCGACTGCTTGTGCATAAAAGTAACTTGTGTGCCCCCTCGCGTGTGTTCCATATCAAAAGCTGCAAATCGCGACAACCGTAATAAAGCCAGCCAACTGCGCACCAGGAATTTTTATGAAATTAAACTAATGGAAAATTCAACGCGAAAGTTGATCTGCGCCGTAAATGTTTTATGCAAATTTGAGCAAAACATTCTGGACGGAAAAAATATATTCCAGAGAGAGAGAGAGAGTTTAAACCATTTAATTTTCCTTTTATCGAATTTCTTTTTCTCAGCGGAAGAAATTTATAATTTAAATATAAATAATTAATATGATCGTTAAAAATACAAAATCATGAAAACGTACATTTTCATCAACAAGGTCCATTTCTCCATAATTTTAACTGAAATTATTTAACAAAAAGTGCTTTAAATAAATTACAATGTTTTAAACTTTAAAACATGCGATGCAATTTCCACTTTGACAACCTTCCACAAGTTCGGCTCGCCTCCTTTGTTTTTAGAAACTGCATTCTCCATCCGCCCCTCTCATGATGCTAAACGCATCCCGTTTCCGCTGGCCTGCGCCCTGCAAAAAAATTAAAATTCCGGCGCCGAATATTATCGTAATACGCGTGCGAGGGCGAGCCGGAGAGAGAGAGCGCGCGGCCTCCCGTTATTTCGGCGAGGTAAAAAGGGGCGCTTGCGCTAGTTGGGTGCCGCCGCCGCCGCTTTACTACTTTGCCTCGGCCAGCGCTGACATAATATCTTCGCACCAGAGCAGTACGCTGTGAGCCTTGCACTGGTCGTAGCCATGGTGGTGCCGGTGTCGCTTCTCGCAACCCAGTTATCAGCAGCCATGGCGACCTAATGAAGCCAGGAGCCGGTCCGCAAGTGCCTAATATCCATCACCGATGTGGTAATTAAACAGTCGGCTAAGATGGAGAATTTTAAGTGTAGAGTGCATCCCTTTCAAGTTTGAATAATAATTGTCGTTCGGAAAAATTCACTGCCCCGGGAGATCTCGTCTTTCAACTTGAGTGCGTTCGTATTTTAATTTGGTGAGTACTAATATTTTTTTTGCCCCTGCAACACCGGATGCTTGGTTTAAAATGAGACGAAAATATAAACCGTGAGAGTTGGGAAATTTTTCTAAATTCGGTTCTTGTTTACGTCAAAGTTTACTTTGTTTTAATTTACTGGGCGAACTCGAGAGTTCTGCTCCTCTCCCGCTCATAAATAAATAAAGTTGGCTTATAGGTGCCGGCCGAGAGTGCCGGCGGCAAATCCTCCGGGCAACGTGCTGCAAATATCGCAGCGAATTAATTCTACCCTCTGTATACAATAAAACGGACGTGCCCAGAAAAGATTTTCGTCAGATGTGTGCGCTCTAATGGCGGGTGATAAAGGAAGAGTCTCTCTGTTGCCGAGGAAATGAAATCCTACTGCTTTGCGGCTTTTTCGACTCCCGTCCGCACACTCGCTCGCCCGCTCTCTCGAAAAAGGAATCATCAAGAGTGGTCTTTTTCGCTTGCAGATAAAAAGAGCCCCGGTTTCAAAAGAGACGTCGGCGATGTGCCACCGGGAATTTATATCTTCTAATCATTTTCCATCTGTTTTTGAAAACACACGCACAAAGAAAGGATGAATAATGGCACCACCGAATTCGAGGGCCGCGAGATATGTATTATGCTCACGTCGCGTTTGATTTCCCTATCTCCGGCGGGACTGTTTTTTGCGACCGCTCGAAGCATCTTGTTTGTATACGAGGCGAAAATGGAAAAAAAAAGAAGAAGGAAAGCGGCACCAAACAACAATGACAGCTATCGAGTCGTCGAGTGGGCGCCGCCTCACACATACACACTCGGTCCCCTCGTCGCACACGCAAATTGGCAAATTTATCAACTATTGTGGGAGAAAAGGAAAATATATGCGGCCTGCAGGATCAATATAGAAAAAAAAGAAGTATGGGGTGTTGCTCGGCGGGCGTATTTTCTTTATCAGCGCACGAACACCCTTTTGTTTCACTCAGCTGGCCCATTCGCACGGTCGAGAAATGAAAAGTGATCGGAGCAAAAACGTGCCCCCGTTTCATGCCGTTTGAAGTTTTGCCCAAATTAGCGTGCGATGCGGTTGCACGTGCAAAAAAAAGAGAGTGCGAGCGAGAAGAAAGAAAAGCAAGCGGTGCAGTACGTGCGGCCGGAGCGAAAGCGGAAAAAGCAGTCGTCGGTGGACGACG